GTGCCTAGCTTATGCCGCTCGCGCCCACGCGGAAACTGCAGCGACATCGAGAGCATCTGCCCAGCACGCCCGTCTGCAACCGCGAGCTCGCGGATTATGCCGCGATGTCGAGAGTGTGCTCATGCTCACGCACGCGCCCGTGCGCCACGCCAACGCCGTCCGCGACCTCGCGAATTACCCCTCGACGTTGAGAGTGTGCGCCCGTGCACCTGTGCTGTCTAGCACTCGCGAGCTCGCGAATTTCATGGAGAGCTCGGGAGTGTCTTTTTAATTGTGCGTTTTTCTAGTGTGTGTTTGTGCTGGAGTATAAATATTTTTGTTCCTTTGCATTTTGGGGAGAATTCTCTCATTTTTCACTTTTTCTCTTTTGGAAATTAGTTTATGTTTTATTTTTGCTCTCTAGATTATGAGCTTATGCTATTTTCCGGGAGATTTTCCTTCGAGCTTTTGACTCTGTTTTTCATCGTCTACGCAATGGGAGATTGAGTATTTAATTTTAAAGCTCTTTACTTCGTTTTTGCTCCAGTTTTACTTATAATTTTCATTAGAGTAAATTGGATTTGATTGATGATGGTGGAAATACTTGAACTTGATTGCTTGCTTGAGTAGATAGAGCCGTTAATTTCTTGTTGATCTCGGTTAGACGACTAGGGTTAGCAATCTAATGCTCGTAGCTCATTTATTTTGTATGTCGATTGATTATCATCCCGTATTGGTTATGGCATGAGACTCCGGTGATCTAGTTTGCTAAATGCTCGCAATTTGATCTTGCTTTCAACTAATTGCTCATTTTTAAATGCTCAATTAGTGTTAATCAACCTTCCCATCAATTGCTTAGAATGTTTAGGATTTTATTTTTGATTTTTGTGATTTGGACGATCATTTAGTAGACAAAGCTCCGAATAGCCTTCCTTCGAGATCGACCCGAGTCGGGTAGCTCGGTTATCCCTTGCCCATCAAATCTTTACTAAACAAACCTAAATTATTAATTATTAATATGTCAATATTATTTGTCCAAACCTAATTACGAACCATGATTCTTCGTCAAGTAGGATTCCGAAGCACCAGAAACAGCCACGTAGGCTCAACGCATTCAGGAATTATATATAGGGAGGATATGTATGAATTGGTTCCGGTTCTTGTATTTAATATTCGGTTCTTCATTTTTGCATTTGGTTCTCAGTTTTTCATGATATTTTTAGTTCGTGAGTTGTATTTTTTGGACCGGTTCTAAACTTAAAACCGGTTATTGTAGGTAATTTTTTATTATTCGGTTCAATTCTTTTTCGGTTCCTGAATTTTGTATGTGTTAACCGAACCAGTTTTTTTAGTTCGGTTCCGGTTCCTGAAAAAAATGATAAGAACCGGACCGGTCCCAGGCCTAGACTTATTCGATCTTGGCATGTATGTAAATAAAATCTTAGGGGAAATTTCATTATAAGACTGATTTTTTAGTATTGTTTTTTAGTGTTGTGTCAAAGCACAGTCTAATTTTTTACTTTTATGTTAGGTATTTTTTTACTTTATGTTGGGAAAAATACGCTAATTTTTCATGTAGTCGGATCTATAAAAGTAAAATAAAAACAAAAAATTGGACGCACCAAATTGATAACGGAGTTCAGCCAATAATGCCTACGTCTCCGGACCACTGCAGATGTTTTATTAGGAGAAAAGAAATACTTGTGTTTACATATTCTCAAACTCACTCACAACTCACAATACAAATACACACATAAGCTAAAATTTTTACTTCTTGTTCACACTTTTTTTTCTCTTTCTTTTCTCTCGTTTCGATGTTTTTTGTTTCATCAGTATCCCTCTATTTATAGTGGGGGAGTGTGATGTGAATATTGCACTCCAAATTCTCCAATTGTAGGCTCTTAGATTGCTGCTTTTTTTCTTCTTTAACTACTGTCAGCATTTGATGGTTGATTCAATATTGGTGGCTTTGGCTATTTTCAATGAGGATGATTTCAATCTGTCCTCACACCTCAATTACTGTCGTAATCTTCTCAGGTCTGTTATTCTAGCAAGCCAACTGAAGTTGAGCACAACTTCAGTTTATCAATGGTTACCACCTTCGTTAGTATATCTGTTGGGTTCTCGCTTCCTACAATTTTCTTCAAAGTCAACACTTCATCCTCAAGAAGAGATCTAATGAATAATATTGTATGTCAATGTGCTTAGTTCTGGAGTGAAACATTGAATTCTTTGTTAGATGTATTGCACTCTAACTGTCACTGTGCAACACACTTCCTATTTTAGTGAAACCCAATTCTGCTAACAATCCTTGAAGCCATATCAATTATTTACTGGCTCATGTCACTACTACTTACTCAGCCTCTGTAGTGGATAAAGCAACAATTTTTTATATCCGCGACATCCAACTAACAGTTGTAGCTCTGACAGTGAAAATATAATCCGTGGTGCTTCTTTAGTGATCGACTTCACCTCCAAAGTCTGCATATACGTAACCTTATAACTTTATATCTCATTTCTAAAATACAAACATTTTTCCGTTGTGCCCCATAGATATCTCAAGATCCATTTGGCTGCTTCCCAATGAGTTTTTCCTGGATTTGACATAAACTTGCGAACAACTCCCACTGCATGACCAATGTCTGGCCTCGTACAGACCATCGCGTACATCAAACTTCCAATGGCTGAAGCATAAAGAATTTTAGTCATAAACTCTTCTTCTTCCTTTGTTTGAGGAGACTGATCTTTGAATAGACGAAAATGGCTGGCCAAAGGTGTACGTCTGGCTTAGCCTAATCCATGTTAAATCTCTGCAAAACACGGTAGATGTACGCTGCCTGAGATAACTTCAAAACTCCATTTTGTTTATCTTTTGTGATCTGCATTCCAAGAATCTTCTTTGTTGGACCTAAGTCCTGTTGGTGTTATATACTTAAGCTTTGCTTTAGTGGATATAACACTTGTTATTTCTTGATGAATGAGAATTATGTTTGGTTAAATAAGTTCCACGTTCTGTTGTTTTGCATGTAGATAAGTAGGTCGTCATCGGGCATACCGAAGATCACTATATCAGTTACTTGCGAAACAAGAATCATTGGTTCACAACCTAGATGGAATTGAACAACCCATCGGAACGGTTGTAGTGTCAACCGTACGGTTTGTCTTGACCGATTAGTTGCACTAGTACATTTATATATTGAACAGGATGCCAGAGAGGGATGTTCGTTTTATACTGATCGTCGTAAACGAACTAGGCCTCAGTTAATTATTGCGTGCTCTTAACCCGTAAGATATTAAATAGGCATGTGCACATAATTGTTGTTGCTTTGATTCTTTGGGTGAGATCCAAGTCGGGTCGACATACTTAATGAATTGGGTAATGACATTATGTGTTCGATGTGCTATTAGGATATTTATGGTCACCATGTGCGTTAG